CCCCCCGGCGCGCAAACCGGAATGAATCTGGCCGAAGTTTCGTCCGTGGTCCAGTCACGTGGTTCCTCTCGTGTGCGTTTTTAGTGAAAAAGCGGTACGGCGCTTGCGCATGACGAAACCCAAGCGAAGAGTTGCTTGGTAACGGTGCGCGAATCAACGGACATTTGGATTGAATAGCTCGATAAACCGTTCGTACGTGAAAAAGGAATATTCTAAGGTGTAATCGTGAAGTGTGGTTGTTTTGGGAATTGTTTTAGAACTAACATTTAGAACTTGCTTTAGAACTTACGTTTGGAATTTGTTTTAGAAATGGTGATTGTTTCTAGACTCCAGTTCGTGAAAAAAAATTGTGATTGGTTTGAAACTTAATTACGTACAATTGTGATCGATTTTAACTCTTTTTTTTTCTTTTTTGTTATTTTTTAAAATAAAACAAAGCCCCTTTTTTTTTTTTTTTTTTTTTTTGGGAGTCCGGTTCCTTTTGCACTGCTGGAGTTGTAGAGCGAGGGCCGACGTCAGCAGATACTGAAGTGAGCAGTACGCAAAACACAAGCACGTGGCGAGTGCAACATGCCAAAATGTGTAACTCAGAATCGAAAAGCTATGCTAACTCTTCAGAAAAAAAGGAGCTCGGAACCAAGAGCTGCTAGCTATGGCTACAACCTCCGCCCGTTACGGACGGTGGTATTCTGGCTTCGCTCTACCGGTTTCGACCGGAGCCAGATTTCAGGCTCATCAGAAGGGTAGAACACAATTCCAAGTAAAGGTGAGGTTCTAACTTGGAGATAAATACGTACCTTCATCCTAAGTTACTGCAGAGTGCTCGGTAGAGTCCGTAGATAAATACTTACCTTCATCCTAAGTTACTGCAGAGTACTCTCGGTAGAGTCCGTATTCCCTTAGTTTCAGTTTCCCCGTAACACGTTTTTCCTTCACCGAAAGCCACTGGTACCTAAAGATGGGTTCCAAAAAAATTTTGCATCCGAAATATAGGGTTGAAGAGAGGTCGGTTACTCGGAGTTACCAGGCCCATCTTACCTGGTTTCGTCCTTTCCGAAAACCTTAAATTGAAATCCGTAAGAAATGAAAAGAAAAGAAAACAGCTACGCAGAGTTACCAGGCCCATCTTACCTGGTTTCGTCTTTTTCTAGAAAAACAAAGAATGAAATCCGAGAAATTCGCCGAAAATTTCGAAAATAAAAGAAAAAATCTGAGAAAATCTCCGAAAAATATTCGAATAATTGTACGAGAAATAAATCCGGAAATTAATAAATCCGAAAATTAGGTCCGAAAAATAAAAAAAATAATTTAATTTAAACAGAAAATAAATCCGAAAAGGAGTAAGCTATGCGGAGTTTCCAGGCCCAACCTTCCTTGTATTGTCCTTTTTGAAAAGTTTCCTGCAAGAAATCCGTAGGGGATACATGAAATCCTGCTCTTCTACGTTGTGGATTTTCACAGGGTCCGTGGTCGAAATAACGTGGCAAATGGAAAATACTCTTCAAAACTTTCTCATATTCGCGTAGGTTACTGAGAATCGTGAATGGTCCCTCAGTTATATCGTAGCATCTCATTATTTACCATCCACAATATTTATTTTCCCATACTGTCCATGACGGTGCCCGTCTTCTGACGAATTTTTCCAGGCAATCTTCGAACTATTTCTTCGGGTAATTTTGTAATCGTAGGAGTCTTTGTAAGGTGAGTATGCCCAGCACTGCTAACTCCGCATTAGATGACATCTGATAAATCCGGTGAAGGCTCCAAGTAATAACCGCCTTATTTTTTGGGATAGACGAATAGGAGTCGAAGTCCTCAATCGTTCTGAAGGTGAGTGTACCCCCCTCCTCCCAAATCTCCTTAGAGTTTCTCTGAATTAGCTGGGTCGTCACTTTT